ACTGCAAGAAGATCAAACCTCTCCATTCTGAAGGAAATCCGCCCTGAGTGCTCCCTGGAAGGACAGATCCTGAAGCTGAGGCTCCAAGACTTTGGCCACCTCATGAGAAGAGAAATCTCCCTGGAAAAGACCCTGATGTTGGGAAAGATGGAGGGCACAAGGAGAAGGGGACGACAGAGGACGAGATGGTGGGACAGTGTTCTCGAAGCTACCAGCATGAGTTTGACCAAACTGCGGGAGGCAGTGGAAGACAGGAGTGCCTGGCGTGCTCCGGTCCATGGGGTCACGAAGAGTCGGACACGACTAAACAACAACAAACCTGATACCAACCGGGTGCTACTGAACTACAACTCCCATCAGCCCTGACCATTGGCCATGCTAACTGAGGGTGATGGGGGCTTGGAGTCTGACAGGTTCTGCACCTCCGTAATAAGGAACATGGCAACAAGTCAGATAAATTATTGGCAAGTTGCCTTAAGAATATAGAAGCAAGGATTACCGGCCAAACTGGATCTGCAGTTAGATTCCTGCAATGCCTGTTGCGCTATTTAAGAGCACCTGAACTCCGTAACTGGAAATCATAACACCTCTGAATTTTGAGATGGCATCTGGTGCTGCACAAACACTTTCAAGCACATATCATCTAAAATGGTTGTTATTCTTCTTCTTCCGTATTTATTTATTTATACCCAGCCTTTCCCCATGATGGGACTCAAGGTGGCTTACGGATAAAAACTTAGAAGAAACGACACCGAACAAGTAAATACGGACAGAAGTAAAACTATATGCTTCAGACCATGTTTAAAACACACAGATAATTACAATAAAACAGCACCAGCCCTTTCATTAAAAGCAGCCGGTTCCTATCAGCCTGTTGGAACAAGAAGGTTTCACCTGCTGGTGGAAGGACAAAGAGGGAGGCCGTCTAGCGAAAATAAAAGACAGCAGATTCTGCACTTTTCCTGCTAAATTACAGTATATATCCAGTCTATTCCTGCCCAGCATTTCCCGCTTTTGAGCTTAAACTGTTGCAGCATTTATCCTTATCACATGTTCAACCCCCTTGTGACACCTTGGCTGGGGGCCCTGCAAGTTGACCGAGTGCCGCCTGAAGTTTTGGGTCCTGGCTTGAAGGGGCTGGAGAACACTCTCGGTGGCGGTGCCACAATAAACGTGCCGCAAATCAGGAGCGGAAAGACTGTTGGCAGGGAAGTTAACTCTTTCCTTGAGGAAATGAATGGACAACTTTGAAACCCTTGGCAGCAGGTCTTGCCCCTAGCGAGCAGCTGCCAGGACTCCAAGGCTCCTCCTCTTTCAGATGTTTCCCATTGTTATGTACTGAGTTGGATCCAAAAGGCAGCAGTCTGACTGGTCCTAGAACAGTAGGATTCAGAATGCAGCAGTCCGATTGGTCCACAGGAGTCACCCAATCCAGCTCCAGGTGGAAGTGAATCTGCAACCTGATTGGCCTACAGATGAATCGCAGAATTAGCCAATCACGTGGGGCCCATTGTGTAAATAATGTATATAAAGCGGACATTCCGGGGGAACTTCCATTCCTCCTCACCACTATGAGCTGAATAAAGAGCATGAAATCCACTCCCGACTCAGAGTATATTTCACCCATGCAGGCGCAAGCTGGGTCTGTGCACCTCTGGCCACTGTTCTCCTTATTCTGCACATTCTTGGAGACCAGTGAGGAGGGGAGCTTGTCATAGCAGGAGAGGGAGATTCCCTGGATTCTTAAGCGGCTTCTTGACCCCCCCTCCTCTGCTTCAGCCTCGGAGTCTGAACTGCTGTCCGTCACCCACTCTTCCTGCTCACTAAGCCCTGTTGCCCCTTCGGAAGCTCCTTACAATCTTCTCCTACTGACCTCTCCACAATGTCCCACCACAAATCCCTGGGCTCTGAGCCTTCCCCCTCTGGGGTTTCCCTTGGCTGCTGTGGTCACACCATCAATCAGGAGCTGAACTGGGTTCCACACAGTCACAAAAAAGAGCCACAAAAACAATAACGCAAAATAAATAAACGCGGGTGGCGCTGTGGGTTAAACCACAGAGCCTAGGACTTGCTGATCAGAAGGTTGGCGGTTTGAATCTCTGTGATGGGGTGAGCTCGGTCCCTGCTCCCGTTGCTCGGTCCCTGCTCCTGCCAACCTAGCAGTACCTCCAGTGGAAAGGTAAACGTTTTCTTTCTTCTTTTCTCTTTTGTTCCTTTCTTATATATGTGCTTATTTGAAATATATATTGTATGTATTTGCAATATTTTGCTTATATTTTGTAACAATTATGTTAAATAAATTATTTTTTTAATAATAATAAAAAGAATCCTTGACAGATGGCCATCGAACCTCTGCTTCAAAACCTCCAAATAAAGTCCGCAAAGTATAGGATAAAGTTACCCTGCTTCTCAGTGCATGGCCCACACAGCATTACGACAAAGGGAAAGCGAAGGCACACCCAGAGATTTCAAGGATGCCTCTCCACATTCCAGCCCTCAGCCGTGCCCTGCAAAACAGGTGGGCATTATCGTCTGGGAAAATCAAGAGATGCCAACAGCCAAGCGAACTCTGGCCAGGCATAAATGTGTTTTGGTTGGCAGGCAGAGCCCTGCAGCTGCTGAATGCAACTGACATGGCGCACAGAAGAGCTAGCCTCTGTCTGCGTTGCTGCTAGCAGACCAACCGGCCTGCATTTTTTAGGAAGGAGCTGCTGTCGGGCGGAGTTGCAAATATTAGCCCCCGAGCAGGAATGGGGCTACTGCAACGCAGATTTGCCATCGCTTAAGGAAAAAGCAACTGCATACTGTCAGATTAAGCAGTTGAAGATAGCCATCTTAATTGCGCTGCTCTCTGGGGGAGAGAAACGCCATCGCTGCACATGTGCGATCGGGAACTTTCCCACCCTTAAAAGGGCCTGAGTCACTTCTACTCATGTTCCACCTGGGCTTTTGGTGCATTCAAAGTCCTGCTCTTTGCCCCCCTCCCTCGGCCACCCACGCCTATCCTGAAATGACTCAAGGCTGCCAGTGTGGTGTAGTGGTTAAGAGTGATATCGACTCGTAATCTGGTGAACCGGGTTCGCGTCTCCGCTCCTCCACATGCAGCTGCTGGGTGACCTTGGGCCAGTCACACTTCTCTGAAGTCTCTCAGCCCCACTCACCTCACAGAGTGTTTGTTGTGGGGGAGGAAGGGAAAGGAGAACGTTGGCTGCTTTGAGACTCCTGAAGGGGAGTGATAAAGCGGGATATCAAATCCAAACTCTTTTTCTTCTTGCAATTTCACTTTCCTTGGCTTTCTGTACAACAGGGGTAGGCAAACTAAGGCCTGGGGGCCGGATCCGGCCCAATCGCCTTCTCAATCTGGCTGGCGGATAGCCCGGGAATCAGCATGTTTTTACATTAGAATGTGTCCTTTTATTTCAAATGCATCTCTGGGTTATTTGTGTCCTGGATGCTAGGCAGGAAAAACTGGTGGTTTTTGTGTGTGTGTGTGTATGTATGTTTTTGTAAAAAAAGAAACTCAACCAATTTTGGGTAACCCCCCCCAAAAAAAAACCTTTAAAAAGCTCAACAATTTGGGTGGTTTTCTTAAAAAAACAACAAAAAAAACCAGCTCAACAACTTTCAGGATGTCCCGGTTTGTACTTTTTGAAATATGGCAACCCTAAGATATAAGGGACACAGGTGGCGCTGTGGGTTAAACCACAGAGCCTAGTACTTGCCAATCAGAAGGTTGGAGGTTCGAATCCCCGCAACAGGGTGAGCTCCCGTTGCTCGGTCCCTGCTCCTGCCAACCTAGCAGTTCGAAAGCACGTCAAAGTGCAAGTAGATAAATAGGTACCGCTCTGGCGGGAAGGTAAATGGTGTTTCCGTGCGCTGCTCTGGTTCGCCAGAAGCGGCTTAGTCATGCTGGCCACATGACCTGGAAGCTGTACGCCGGCTCCCTCGGCCAGTAAAGCGAGATGAGCATCGCAACCCCAGAGTCGGTCACGACTGGACCTAATGGTCAGGGGTTCCTTTACCTTTTAGACCCACAGGTGCAGAAAGGTTGCTGACCCCCTGCCCCAGACCAAGATAGAAGCAGATAGAAATTAGCCAGGCACATTTTGCGAGTGGCACGGGTCCAACTGCGACCACGTGGAGATCTCTGGGTGCCAACTGACACCTCCACCTGGCTGGTCCCCTCCAGCTTTCTAAGGTCAGCAGAAGAGCTTATTTATATCCCACCTTTTCCCTCAAGGACTACATGGTCCCCCCCCCCAGTTAATCCCTACGACGACCCTGTGAGGTAGGTTATGTGACTGCAACTGACTCCAAGGTCACCTCGTGGGTTTCATGACGGAGTGGGGATCTGAACCCTGATCTCCCAGTTCACAATCCGACCCTCTAATCCAGCCTTTCTCAACCTGTGGGTCCCCAGATGTTGAACTACAACTCCCATCACCCCTAGCTAGCAAGGCCAGAGTTCAGGGATGATGGGAGTTGTAGTCCAACAACATCTGGGGACCCACAGGCTGAGAGCCACTGTCCCTCACCGGCTTCTTAAGAGGACTTCTGCTATGGAGCAGCTCTATAAAGTCCGTAAATAAATATGAGGAAAAGCAAAATGTCACATAGGAAAGGATCTGAAATATTCCCCATGAAGTTTGAATTTTATTGTGGATTTGTTTTATTTGCTGTGTTGCAAACAGCTTTGAGATCATCCCCCTTTAATATATAAAGCAGTACAGAGATGAAATGAACAATAATATTTTTTTGCAGCAAAAAAAAGGCACCTAAACATTCTGTTGTGGTGACCACAATGTAAGTTTTGAAGTGCCATTTGGCGATTAGCTTATATATCTGATTTTCTACCCAGAAGGAGCAATCTATGATGCCTCTAAGCTCAGCGTTCAAACCACAATGACTTGGAAGGGAGTCAGATTGTGGTTATTTCAATGGACAGCTTCTAATTTTACCTTAAGGGAAAGAGAGATAAATAAATACACTGCAACACAGAGTCTCATACAAAACAGTGAAGCCTTTTTATTTTTTAAATTTTCCTTTGTTGTTGCGGTCGGAGGCAAGGGCAGCCTTATTACACTTTTAAGGAAACCTCTCACAACTAAAAAAAAAAAGTGAATACTTTAAAAAAGGCATTGACAGTTTTACAGGACTTGAGCAGAAAAAACAGACAAGTTTTCACTTATTTCATTTTTTAAATAATTCTTCTTCTCTTAAAAAAAGGTTATAAAGTGTCTGGACCTCGTTGGCATCTGCCAAAGTGATGCTTGCCCGATATAAAAGCACTGGGTATAATAGTAAAAATCAACAATAATAATTTAGCTATGGCTCAGAGGGAAAACGAACAAACCAACAAATACCCCAAGTAACTGGTCTCCGTCTACAACAGCCTTCCCCAACTTGGCGCTCTCTCCATGTTCTGAACTAGAACTCCCAGCAGCCTCAGCCAGCTGAGGGCGGGGCTGATGGGAGTGGCAGGCCATCGAATTAGGGAAGGCAGACCTATGAACTAATGGCGCACCGAGTTTTTAAAAAAGGGAGACGTGTAAAATCCCACTGCTGAAAGGAATCAGAAGGATCGCCCGGTGTATCTTTGGGAAAACACGTTTAAAAAAGTAACAGGGTGGGTTGGGAAAATTCAGACACACATCGCAGAACACTAAAATATTGAAGCCAGGCGTACCAGTCTGGAAAAATGCCCCCTTGTGCCCTCAGCAGGGATTAGAAGCTGCCCTCAATTAAAACATTAACCTTTCGCCAGCGATTTCACCAAGGTTTAATTCGCTTTCCAGGGCCAAGTGGGAGCTGTTTCTTCGTGAAGTCTTCCCACACTGGCCTGGGAACATTGGTGTGCCAGGAATGCTCTGCGCCGGGGCCAACTGCATGGCTGTCTCCCCCCTTGCTTGGCCACTTGGGGTCGGGCGATGCTCAAGCTAGGACGCCACCCCGTCGCCTCGATAGCGCAAGAGCAGTGTGGGAAGAAGCCGGCGGAATTTAAGGCGCTCCCAGGGCGCTGGAAGATTAAACGGGGTGTGAGGTCGATGTGGCGGCAGCCGTTCCAATTTCCTTCCTGCCAGGTGTGTCCGCTTCTGCCAATCTCCTCCCAAAAGGCTCTTTCGATGCCCCGAAAGATGCCATCGCGGAGCCCTTGCACAACCCCACTGTGCTGCACATTCAATGCAATCGATTGCTTTCTGGTGGGAAAAACTTGCGCATGGGGAAATGTTGGGGAAACTACGCCCATTGCTTCCGGGATGTTACATTGAGGGTCCAATGAAGGAGGGTCTGAGGAATTCTCTGGCTGCCGTGGGGTGGAACGCATAGCTGTCAACTTTTCCCTTTTCTTGCGAGGAATCCTATTCGGAATAAGGGAATTTCCCTTTAAAAAAAGGGAAATGTTGACAGCTATGGTGGAATGACCCTTGGAGTTATGCTGGAAGCCCCCTTTCTCCCCTGGAACCATAAAACGTCATTTCATTGCGACGTTTGCATTAGCAGTTGGGAATCCCCCCTCCGAGAAAACATTATCGTCGTTTTTAATAATTAAAAAAACCACACACACACACATCATTTAAATTCACATTCCTGGACATTGTAATGAGCCATATCATACCAGAGGCAAGGGGGCATTTCAAATCCCCACTCTGGGCCGTGTTGCAGTGCACAGCGCCTTGAGATCTGTGGAGGAACATGATCACTTTTGCTTTACAACAGTCGGGAGAGAGAAATCGCCTCTCCCAATACCACACACACAAAAACCACAAGAGGCATTGCAAATTTATATGTATATATATGTTTCCCCCCTGTCTCCCTGCTAGAGGATACACGCAAGCTTTCGTGTTTTTTTTAATTTGAATTCAAGATTTCCACACTATAAGGCTATTAAGAATGCTGGTATGTCTGTCTAAGCCGGTGCTCTGAAGTAAGGTCTGAAGACATTTTATGTGCTATGATTTTTTAAAATTTTATTTTTCTAAAAAGAGACCTATGGGGAATTTTTTTGCAAAAGGCGCACATTTGAGGGAAAGAACGGCGCTTTTCGGAAAGGATCCTTTTAAAAAGTTGGCGCTTGTGCCCTTTCAAAGAACATTCTTGATGCAGCAGGTAGATGAAAATAACTTTTCCCTGCCTGTGCTGACCACTGGTCTCCAACCACCCCCCACAAGCTCATGGTCAGCACAAATGGTGGTCACTTTTAATCTGAGGGAGGGCACTGTGTTCTCCAGACACTAGTCTTGGGCTCTGGAGCAAGCTGAGTGACCAGACTCTATTGTAAAGAGGCTATGAGGTTTCACGACGATTGGGCACATTATGTGTTGATGGCAGAAGGTTGCTGACTAGGGGCCAAAGTGAGGAATATACTTCCTGAAGGATCCCCTCAACCTGGAGGCTGGCAGTGAAATATATAAACAGGCCCAATGCTTCACTCCTTGGACGTGACAACTACAAGCAACATTTAAAAAATAAAATAAAAAATTAAAACCGGGAGGGTCAGGATAAAGTTGTGTTGGCGTGATAACCTCTTTCTGAGGCAGGCATCCCTGTCCTAATTTGCACCACTTGAGTCCGAGGGAAGAGGAAATCCAATTATTTGAATGTTTCACATGGGAGGCAGGATGGGGAGAGAATCCCAGCAGTGCACATGAAAGCCATTTGCCAGAAGAGGCATGTGGGGCCGAGTCTTCCTTCTCCCTGACACGCTAGCTGTCTACATGCAAGGGGCCGAGTGCGTGAAAGCTTCCGCGCAACACAGTCTCTCTGCCTGCAGCCTGAAATCCTGGGGAAATGGTGCGATCCTGCTTCTGCCACAAGAGTTAGCCAACATTTGGGCCCAGGCGCAAAATTAGGCCATGGGTATTTTGTGCTGCGAACTGCTTGAGTCCACCCTAGTCAGCAAGGCTCCCCCCCCACAAATCTCCCCCCCCCCAATTTGGTAGACGCTCACCCAAAGCAGCTGCCTGCCTGCCCCCCACCAACTGTTCCCTCCACCAAGTCACGCCTTAGCAGGCTGAACAATTCCCACCCATCCTCCATCCTATAACCTGCTGGCTGCACACTTGAGCTCTCAGCACAGGAAATCGCTCCCACCCACGCATGGAAGCTGTCAAGAGGACTGCACATTTATCGTCAACCGGAAGAAAGCTTTCCGGGCCAAGGGAGACGACCTTAAAAGTTTAAAAAGCAAAACGCTGAACTTTTTTGCTCGAAGGTATTGAAAACGCAACCGAAACTTTTGCTACACAAACAAGAGGAAAGCAGTAGCTGTGGTGTCTCTGTGGGCTGCGCATCTCAGATCGAGGCATGTTCACCTTTAGAGCGCTAATAATACCAAGGCTTACAGGGAGAGGCAGAGCGAGTCTCTGCGCACGTTTGCCAAAAGCAAAGATCCTCGATTTGCTCATGGGGACTTTAATTCACCTATTTCCGACACGGATTACCGCTTCGGCCAGGGCGTTCTGCATGCAGATGGAATGTGTGCACCTGCAACCAGTTGCACGCCTGTGATTAACGTTACATGCCATTCCCAAACGCCAGAAAAGGAGGAGAGCACACAAAACGTGGCTATGTACCCAGAACTCCCATTTTTGCTAGCAATACAGAAAAAGCACGTTTCAGGATCTCTTAACTTTTGAGCAATCCCTGCTGAAGATTTTCATAATTTGGAAGTGGGGCTTCAGCAGCCAAGCTGCAAAATAGGACTAGGGAAACCAGAATGAGGCAAGAGGGGCAGAATTATTATTCCTCACCCCCCCTCCCGCAGTCCCCTGATTTCTTGACCCATAATGCATTGGGGGTAGAATTGTTACCATTGTTTTTTTGCACCGAGGGGCACATAGGCTTAGTCCTCTTTCAGGGAAGAGGCGGTGAGCAGCTCCCTAGAACAGCCATTTCCCTGCTGAAGGGGGGCATTTGGGGGCTGTGATTTCTGCATGGCTCCGGTATAGGACCAGCCGCCGCCGCTATGCTCACACAGCAAATCTGCAAGCACCCAGGCGGCAATGGCGCGATTTAGCTCAGCAAAGACAAAATCACCAGAAATAACTTGTGCGTTTAATAGCGATTAAAAACGTTAAGCATCAAAACCGAAGGTGTGGCTTGGGTGCTCTCGACAAGGGCAAAATTGAGGCATGGAAAATGGGTTTTAAAGCTTCCGGTAACCTCCTCACAACCTGTGAAGAGTCAGAGGAGAATTTATTAGCCTGCCTTCTCCTGGGTCCAGCTTCCTCTGTCTCTTAAAACTGGACCCACAAGGTCCGGGGATCTCCCTGGGTGCCAAAATTACATCTCATGCTCATTTATTCGTCTCCCGTGAAGTGGGATCTCCTCGTAAATGTCCCGCGACTGCAGGAATAGCTGCAAGGGGCAGGAGCGGTTGCTTTCCCCTGGCCTGATCTCTTAAGGCCTAGGGCGGAGACAGGAATAAATTGTGCAGTCCTCCATGTCCAAATCAGATGTCATTCCATGCATGAAACAGCTTTCTCTGTCTCACGCCTTTCCCCAATTCCTGAGCCCAATGCCAAACATTCCTGAAGCCCTCTGTTCTCAGACCAAAAACCATTTTTTACTAGCTACCTGCCTCCCCTGAATTCACTCTTGGGTCTCTCGTACAGGTAAGCCAAACCTTTGCCAATGAGCTACAACCCTAGGATGCCCTTGCAAGCAGAGGCAAGGATGGGAACCGGATGATTTAAACGTGAAGGGACCAACTTCTGATCACACACACACACACACACACACACACACACACAGAGGAATCGTATCACCTGGGGGACGAAATCTCACAAGGTAGAAATACGATGCCTTCGGCAGAGAGCCTGTTTGCTTTCCTGTTGTGCATTGCAGAGAAATGTCCCTGTACCTTTTCCAAATGGGGTGAGGAAACCCCTTTCATGGGGTTAGATCAAAGATCACAGCAGATCACTCAAGAAGACCACAGGATTACCTTGCCAGAAAGACTACCTTGCAAGAAGGTGGCAACTGACCCATCACGCCATTACCCAACCAATGCCATCCCTCCGGCCAAAACCAACTTGCCACCTGGGTTCCAGAAGGCCTGGCAAAACCTGCGCTGCCCACCAAGTCAATTGGAGACCACCACCCCCAGCAGAAAGGGGGGAGGCAGTGGCAGGGTGGCACTGCTTTTGGCTTGGTGCATCGGAAGCCACGCTGGCATCAGAGAGAGGGGAGGCAGTGGCAAGGGATCTGAGCTCCAAGAAGTCTATCCCACCCAAAGCGATCCCACTCGGCCCCTGCTGGGACCTGCCCCTGCCTGGAAAGGAGGTTTTTTGGGGGGGGCATGGAAGAGGGGCTGTGGTGCTCCCAGATATAGATACACCCCAGCACCAAGGAACAGAAGCACAATTGCATTGTGGTGTGCCATCGTCGCACTTGGTGCGTGTTCTGTGAGGAGAAGGGGACAGAGGGAAAAACGACAACATAATTTCTAGTTTTTTTGTTGGGGGGGGGATGGACTCAGCCACCTTCCCTCCTAGGCTCAGATCCCAGCGCTGCCGGATTTGGCGGCGCCGAACAAGGGGAATCCTGCCCAGTGGGGAAGGTTGCTGCCTGGGACTTCAGAGGTCAAGCCCTGTGCTTGCGGAGTTTGTGTGTGTGTGTGTGTGTGTTTTGGCAAAAGGCTATTACTGAGGTTACATGATGCAGCATTTGTTCTTGTGGTTCTGAGGGTCCTTGAAGCGCAGCCGCTGTTTGGGCCGGTACTTCTCCAGGTACGTCAGCTGCTTGCTGTTGATGGCTCCGCGGCGCTTCCTGGCGAGGAGAGAGAGAGAAAGAAAGGGAGGGGATACAAAAATCAAAGCTTTGGTGTGCTGATCAAAAACACCTTGCAAGTGTTGAACACACACACACATGACTTCTTGACCCCGAGTAAAACCTCCCCTGCAGTCCTGCCTACCAAGAGACCCTCGCATGCCACAAGAAAAAGCTATCTTTGCCAGCCCCAGTTAGGTGCTTCCAAGGCCGTGCAGCAGCAAAACTCTTTTTCTTCTGCAGAGTCGGGGGAAAGGGCTGCAGGCTGGTCAGAGCAGCCCCAGCTGCGCCCTCAACTCCAGATGTGGGAGGGTGGGGCTTATAATCATAATAATGATAATAATAAAAATAAATTTTATTTATACCCCGCCCTCCCGGGCTCAGGGCAGCTGACACCAATAAAATCACAGTAAAAAACATGATAGGGTGGAAAAGAAAAAGAAAAACCATTCAAAATACAGGTTAAAATGCAATTTAAAATGCAGCCTCATTTTAAAAGTAGCCGATAATTCAGGACCATAAGGGGAGGGAAACATAAGGGTCAGATTGAGTCCAAACCAAAGGCCAGGTGGAACAGCTCTGTCTTGCAGGCCCTGCGGAAAGATGTCAAGTCCCGCAGGGCCCTAGTCTCTTGTGGCAGAGCGTTCCACCAAGTCGGGGCCAGTACTGAAAAGGCCCTGGCCCTAGTTGAGACCAATCTAACCACCTTGCGACCTCCAAAATGTTATCATTTGTGGACCTGAAGGTCCTCCGGGGGCATAACAGGAGAGGCGGTCCCGTAGGTACGAGGGTCCTAGGCCGCATAGGGCTTTAAAGGTCAAAACCAGCACCTTAAACCTGACGCTGTACTCCACCGGGAGCCAGTGCAGTTGGTAAAGACTGGATGAATGTGATCCCACGGCAAGAAGAGATGTTTCAGGCTGTTCAGGCCCCTCCCCAAGGAGAGACTGAAGGAAAAATCCCTGTTCCGTGGCCTTAGCAGAACATGCTAAGGAGATTAGAGGAGGGATTGAGAGCAGGACGCTCGGCTGCAGCTCGTAAGCAGAGCTGGTGGCGACGAAGGGCTCACACAGCTATTACAGCTGCAAGCCAGGAGATGTGGCCAGATGGACCGTAATCCTCGCCGGATCCGGCCGGACAGTTTTCACTGGATTCCACCCCCCCCCAAAGGTTCATTTTAGTCCTTCCCTAACCCCAGGTGACTTTCTGGCAGGGCAACAACACCCCACTCCCCAAGAATAACCCCCCTGAAAGCGAGAGGCAGGGTGGGTGGGTGTGCCATGCGACAGCAACGGGCTGCAGCTTGGAGGGAGATCAGTTGCTTGGCATGCAGAAGGCTCCAGGTTAAACCTCCCAACATAATCGGTTAGTGCAGAATCCTGCAGCGTCCCTCGTCACGGGTTCGAAACATCCCTGACTCAGACTGACTGGTTCTCAGTAGATTGGTGCAACTCTCTCTTTAGGTACTGTATCTGCTAGCGACGTGGGATTTGGAGAAGGGTCGGAGCTCAGCCAGAGGGCGTCTGCTCAGCATGCAGAAGGCTCCGGGTTCAATCCCCTAAGGGCGTCTCCGGGTGCAGCTGGAAAAGACCCCCTTGCCTGAAACCCTCGAGGGAGGCTGCCAGTCAGTGTAGACAGCACTAAACTAGAGAAGACCAATGGCCTGGCCTGTATAAAGCAGCTTCCTGTATCGCTGTGAAAGTGTCACTGTTACAGGAATCCTCTTGCATCTTTGCATGGGAAAAGTGAGCCTCTCAGGGAGAACAAGGCTAAGCTAAATCCTTCTTCTTGATATGCTAGGTAAAGGGACCCCTGACCATTAGGTCCAGTTGTGGCTGACTCTGGGGTTGCGGCGCTCATCTCGCTTTACTGGCCGAGGGAGCCGGCGTACAGCTTCCGGGTCATGTGGCCGGCATGACTAAGCCGCTTCTGGCGAACCAGAGCAGCGCACGGAAACGCCATTTAACTTCCCGCTGGAGTGGTACCTATTTATCTACTTGTGCTTTGACGTGCTTTCGAACTGCTAGGTTGGCAGGAGAAGGGACCGAGCAACGGGAGCTCACCCCGTCAAGGGGATTCAAACCGCCGACCTTCTGATCGGCAAGTCCTAGGCTCTGTGGTTTAACCCACAGCACCACCCACATCCCTCTTGATATGCTAGCTTTCTCCATTTAGGATTTCTGCCGCTGTAGGCAGGGAAATTAGATGTGACACACCGCTTAGGACTATGAAGCGGTACAGCCACCTCTATGACTCCAGAAGAGTAGAATGATAGAATCTTAAGAGTGGGAAGGGGTGCCGAGGGTCATCCAGCCCAACCCAGCCCTGCAATTCAGGAATCTCAACTGAAGCATCCGTGACAGATGTCCATCCAACCTCTGCTTAAAAACCTCCAAGGAAGGAGAGTCCACAACCTCCTGAGGGAGACAGTTCCACTGCCAAACAGATCCCTACTGCCAGAAAGTTCTTCCAGATGTTTAACACCAGGACCCATACTGAGATCATCACCAGGTGTGTCGAGAGTTGAGTTGTTGAGGACAGGAAGAGAAAGCCGAGTGGCTTGTCATAATAAAAGTCTGCCCCCTAAAGTCAGTCCGTTTATAACCCAAGCAGTATCTCTACCCATTACCTTGATCAACTATGGAAGACCGAGGCTGGGGTCCAAAAGATGTGTCTCGTGACGCGGGAGTGCCCAGAAGCATTTTACAAAGTCCCCTCCATAGCAGAAGAGCAATTTTGGGGAGGGCGGGGGGAAAGACGACTGTTTAAATTTCCCTGGGCCTCGGATCCTGGCCGTAAACAAACAGCTTTGCCTGTGTAAATTTGTAGGTCAGGTTCTGATTCATTCAGCTAAACCGAAACCAAGAGTTCAAGAGAAGGGGGGGGGGGACTTGTCCCAGGCTTCTTTTACGATTCTGCACCCGATCGACTTTCTGGGTGGAGAAAACCCATGCCAGTGAGCCACACGCTTGCCATTTTTGGTGCGTTCGTTAGGCCGAACGACCTCTGCCTTTTCCGTAAGCAACCCCTGATTCCCCTCTCCACAAGCATCAAGCCAGTCTGGGAACGCCGAGCCATTAATCTGGATCTTAGCAGGCGGCTCAGAGGCACTTACTGTCTAATAAACTGAATGGCATCTTCGTATTTCATTCCGCTCTCAATCAGCGCCAGCGCGACAAGAACCGGAGCTCTGGTTTAAAAGAGAGAGAGAGAGAGAGAGAGAGAGAGAGAGAGAGAGAGAGAAGATTAAACCATGACACTAGGAAGAAGAAACAGGGTTCAACTAGAGAAAAACGACTGGAATTTTTATTTTTGCTGGGGGAAAGGAGGAGGAAGAAGGCACAGGACTTCAGTAAACAGCTTCAGTAAACAGAATTAAACACCCACCCCTTCCCGACTTGAGCATTTAGATATTTACAGCTGGTTAAAGCCCTAGTTAAAGCGGGTGGCGCAGTGAACCACAGAGCCTAGGGCTTGCCGATCAGAAGGTCAGCGATTCAAATTCCCGAATTCTGGTTTGCCAGAAGCGGCTTAGTCCTGCTGGCCGCATGACCTGGAAGCTGGAAGCTCCCTCGGCCAATAAAGCAAGATGAGTGCCGCAACCCCAGAGTCGGCCACGACTGGACCTAATGGTCAGGGGTCCCTTTACCTTAAAGCCCTGCACAGGCCGTTGTCACTCTCCCTATAAGCCTAGCTAGTTGTCTCTTTGGTATTTTGTGCTATGCTTGCACCTCACACTGGGTGGGGAACCAGAGACCTGGGTGTGTGTGTAATAAATAATAAGAATAAAATATTATTTATACCCCACCCATCTGGCTGGGTGGTTTCCAACCAAGTATTAAAATACAATAGTCTATTAAACATTAAAAGCTTCCCTAAACAGGGCTGCCTTCAGAGGTCTTCTAAAAGTCTGGTAGTTGTTGTTCTCTTTGACATCTGGTGGGAGGGTGTTCCACAGGGCAGGTGCCACTGAGGTCCAGCGCCGAGGGCCTTCTGGCGGTTCCCTCCCTGCGAGAGGTGAGGTTACAGGGAACCAGGTAGAGGGCCTTCTCAGTGGTGGCGCCCTCCCTGTGGAACGCCCTCCCATCAGATTTCAAGGAAATAAACAACTATCTGACTTTTAGAAGACATCTGTAGGCAATCCTATTTAGAGACGTTTTTAAAGTTTGATGTCTTATGGTACTTTCAATATTTTGTTTGCAGCAGCCCAGAGTGGCTGGGGAATGAATAAATTAATTATTATTATTATTATTATTAGACAATTACTTCCCTTGATCTAGTCCTGGTTTTCCAAAACCTGGGTCTCCAGCTGTAGTTGGACTACAACTCCCATCATCCCTGACCATGGGCCCTGCTAGCTAGGGATGAAGGAAGTTGTAGTCCCAAAAAAGCCCCAAGTTTGAGAAATCTATTCTGACCCCTTGAAATGCAGGACTCTTCTGCCCAATGCTTGAACCCAGGACCTTGAGATGAAGAGCCTCATGTTTCCCGACAGAAGAATGGCCCGACTTAGACTGAGGGGAGCTCCATATAGTCCCAGGCTCCTTTGAGAGCGCGGCGCTCCGGCTTACCGTCCCAGGCCAGCCACGCAATGGACGGCCACGCAGCAGCCGGGGTCTTCGCAGAACTTGGTCTTCAGCAGGTTGAGCCAGTCGTCCACAATCTTGGTGGGTGGCGGAGCGCCGTCGTCAAAGGGCCAGTCCTGGAGGAGGAGAGGGGGCACAGAGAGAGAGAGAGAGAGAGGTTTATTTACCTCTTTTTTTAATGCTTTATTGAGATTAAAAAGAAGTAACAAACATAAGGGTTAATCAGGAAAAAGAAAAGAAAGCACCATGTTTTTTCGCTCCGTAAGACACACTTTTTTCTTCCTAAAAAGTAAGGGGAAATGTCTGTGCGTCTTATGGAGCAAATGCGTGGTCCCTGGAGCCGAATTGCCCAGGGGCGAAAAGCAGATCATGGAATGGCGCAAAAACGTGGTTACAAAGCACGGATCCACATGGATTCTCAGGATTTTTGCATTGGGCTATCCCAAACTCACTGTCAAATCACATGTCTGTGGCCACAGCATGAACCACAAAAATCATACATCCACTGTTTCGTTCCGAATATTTTTTTTCTTGTTTTCCTCCTCTAAAAACTAGTTGCGTGTTATGGTCAGGTGCGTCTTATGGAGCGAAAAATACAGTAATAATATTTGTTGCGTCACATCACTGTACATTCTCTTGAGTTTCTAATAATTTCCCATCAGCCCATCGTGTATTTACCGCCTGATCTAGTGCACAATTAATTTTCATTTTCATTTTTTAAATTTTCATCAGTGTTATGTTCTTTTATAACTGATCGTCCTGCCACAGAAGTTAATCAAAGTCCTGCTACTGGCGTGATGTTATTACAATATTCAATAAGGTATTTTTTTTGTACATTTCCTATTTCCTAATAAATGTTTGATCAGTATGATCTCTCGGTTTTTCTGTCATTTTTGCCAACTGGGCGTACTCCAACAAATTTTGCCACTCCACCTTTTTGGAGTTTTCTCTCCTTTCCAATTTGTGGCGATTAGTATTCTTGCAGCTACTGTAGCGTACAAGAATATTTCTCTCGCATTTATAGGTATATCTGGACCTAGTATCCCCAGGAGAAATTCCTGCGTTTTTTTTGTTTTTTTAAATGAAGGATACCTTAATCATTCTTTTAAGTTCATTATAAATTACATTCCAAGATTCCTTAATTTTCTTACAAGTTTATTCTCAGAATTACTCTAAGCGCACTAATGAGATTGATACTGATGAACTGGAAGAACAGAGATACGATTCCCCTTAATCAATGGCTTGGCAACCTAACAACATGTGAACATAACAATATATGTATGGGCTTTTTTTTTTTACAAGCAATTTATTGATTTTATATGTATATATCTAAAAAAATCATAAACACATTTTAAAACCATAACGTTTTGCTTGACTTCCCTCCCCTCCCCTTCTTGGTTCCACTATTTTAGACTTGTTCATGCACGTCTATAACACCTTATATTTTTAATAATCCATTTTTAAAACCTTCATCTTATTACAAGTGACTTTAAAAAGTTATACACAAAGCTTAAAAAGTATGCATTAAACCAGCGGTTCTCAACCTGTGGGTCCCCAGATGTTGTTGGACTACAACTCCCATCATCCCTGAGCTCTGGCCTTGCTAGCCAGGGATGATGGGAGTTGTAGTCCAACAACATCTGAGGACCCACAGGTTGAGAAAGGCTGCATTAAAACATTTGCCATTTTTATAAACTCAAAGTTGAACATAACAATATATGAACAGGCTGCTTATAGACGCTAGGGCTGGGAGATATATCAGTATTTAGTCTCAAACTGGTTTGAAGTCCATATTGTGATATTGGTTCCATAATTTCTGACCTTGCAATAAATCACAAATCCTGATGCGTGTGTTTCATGTGCTACGCAAAAAAACACAACGTAGGAAAAAACTGTGCAGCCAGCCAATGCATAGCTCCATCCTTATTTCAGACACCGTGATATATCAGTACATCACAATGTTTAGCTGGCGATATATCGCAATGTTGAAAAACAGATATCGCCTAACCCTAATAGACGCAGACTTCCTTTGGATAAAGACAATTATATTTGGAGTTAGTTTTACAGAAACTATATTAGGTTATTGAGAACTATATGTGTATTAAGGACAGAGCATAAAATAATAATAATCTGAAGGCAACCCTGCTTAGGGAAGTTTTTAATGTTTGATGTTTTATCATGTTTTGTAAAGCCTCAGCGCCTAGGGCTTGCCGATTGAAAGGTCGGCGGTTCGAATCCCCGCGGCGGGGTGCGCTCCCGTTGCTCGGTCCCAGCGCCTGCCAACCTGGCAGTTCGAAAGCACCCCGGGTGCAAGTAGATAAATAGGGACCGCTTACTGGCGGGAAGGTAAACGGCGTTTCCGTGTGCTGCGCTGGCTCGCCAGATGCAGCTTTGTCACGCTGGTCACGTGACCCGGAAGTGTCTTCGGACAGCGCTGGCCCCCAGAGTCTGTCAAGACTGGCCTGTACGGGCAGGGGTACCTTTACCTTTATAATATTCTGTTGGAAGCCACCCAGAGTGGCTGGGGAAACCCTGTCAGATGGGCGTGGTATAAATATTATTGTTGTTGTTGTTATTACAATCATACCTCATGTTACATTTGCTTCGTGTTACGTTTTTTCAGGTTGCGTCCCACAGCGACCCGGAAGTACAGGAAAGGGTTACTTCTGGGTTTCGCCACTCACGCAAGCGCTAAATCGCGCATGCGCACAAGCACCAAATCGCGCCACGCACCTGTGCAGATACAGCGCTTCAGGTTGTGGGCTTTTCATGTTGCGAACGGGCCTCCAGAACGGATCCCATTCACAACCAGAAGTACCACTGTATTCCATAATAATTTATAGAACCGTAACTTTTTATTCTCTTTTCCATTCTCACTTTTCCGTTCTTCTTTGTCACTCTATCTTTTCATAAATAAAATTCTTCCAATGAAATATATATATATTTTTTAAAAGCTTTACTCTCATTCAGTGCAGACAAAACTGATCTAGACGGGACGTGGGCCTGACTTGATATATAACACACCATTCTGGGCTGCTAGGTTCTATGTGGCATGGGATAAATCCATCCGGATTTCACTGTGCAACCGTGTTGGGATCATCCACGAGTTCTGCAGTCAACAAAAGGACTGACTGATTCCACCCCTTTGCAAACAAGAGCACGCAGGCACACGAAAAACCTTCTGCACCATAAACGGCTGCCCGTTCTCGAACGAACGAAGACAGGCTTGGATAGGAAAGGGAACAGGGAGAGAGGGGGGCCAGCCAAGCCTGGAAAAGGCCTTCCCCCCTGGGGCCAGCGATAAATCCACTGGTTGTGCGTAATCAGCGAGGCACCGACCCAAGGAGGAGGTTTCACAGATGCGGCTCGTAAATAGTTCATTTCTAGGACGTGGAGCTGTCTTCTCTCCCGGCTACGGAGACCTGGAACGCAGGCCGGGCCTTTGCTCTTATGAGTAGCCTTGCAGCAGAGCCCGTTTTGCAAAAACGAGAAAGGAAAGCCTGTCAGCAACACCCCTCCCAAAAGCAAGATTGCACCCCCAAAGAGGATTGCAGAGAAAGGGAAGACTCCGAGTGATCTGATTTTCTCTCTGGAGCCCCAAAGCCGCATCTTGCAAACAGGCTCTCTCTCTCTTCTTTGCATAGAGAAAAAATGTTTACAAGCTGGCCGGTGTCCAGGAGGAGCTCTAGACAAGCTGCCCATTTAGAACGGGTTTGGGGTTAGGTGGGGGGAAGAGAGAGACAGAGAGAGAGGAGTTTCACCAACCAAGCCTCCGCAAATCCTTTCCAAGGACCGGGCAAGGCGGGGAGGAAAAGGGCCATGCTGTGTAAATAGGACAGGCAGTTTTCAGGCTCCCGGCCGCAAAACGCGATGCGAGGCCGATAAGGAGGAAACCACAATGTCGCCTTGTTCGACGTGAAACGAGAACCAAGCGGGGACGCACAAAGCAGAAACAGATTCGGGAGCATGAAAGCCCCCTTTCGTTTCATCTCTTAAGAGAGAAGGAATAATAATAATAATAATAATAATAATAATAATAATAATAATAATAATATTTTATTTATATCCTGCCCTCCCCAGCCGAAGCCGAGCTCAGAGCGGCTAACAACAATATAAGTACCACAGCATTCTAAAATCAATTCATTTTAAAATCAGTTCAAAATCAAACTAACGGCAACCATTGGGCTAGAGCTCTGTGAGGAGGGGGTCAGTCTGTGCCTGGGCCAAAGGCCAGGCACAACAGCTCTGTCTTGCAGGCCCTGCGGAAAGATGTCAAGTGCCACAGGGCCCTAGTCTCTTGTGACAGAGCGTTCCACCAAGTCGGGGCCAGTACTGAAAAGGCCCTGGCTCTGGTTGAGGCCAGCCTAACCTCGCTGTGGCCCAGGACCTCCAAGATGTTTTTGTTTGAAGACCGTAAGGTCCTCCGTGGGACGTACCAGGAGAGGCAGTCCCGTAGGTACGAGGGTCCTAGGCCATATAGGGCTTTAAAGGTTAAAACTAGCACCTTAAACCTGACCGTGTACTCCACCGGGAGCCAGTGCAGCTGCTAAAGCACTGCGTGAAGGTGATCCCGCGGTGAGGACCCCGTAAGGAGTCTCGCCGCGGCATTCTGCACCCGCTGGAATTTCTGGGTCACTCTCAAGGGCCGCCCCATGTAGAGCGAGTTACAATAATCAGGAGAAAAACGACAAGGAGGCAGGATGTTGATAACGTGTGTCCAGTGAGAGTGAAACAGCTCCACGCTCCAAAATTCGGTGGTGGCCGCCGGGCTTTGAAAATTTCAGTGGTGCCCAGTGTGATGCCAAAATTGGGTGCCTCCCCCTTGCCTTCATTGTCTGCAACTGTTGGGGCACCCACGGCAGGCAAAGCAGCCATGCACCCCTGTATCTGCCTCTGCCAAAATTCCACTTGCCTTTTGTTTATTACATTTATATATCATCACCGTTTTACCATAAAAAGGCTGATCGCCGAAGAATTGATGCTTTTGAATTCTGGTGCTGGAGGAGACTCTTGAGAGTCCCATGGACTGCAAGAAGATCAAACCTCTCCATTCTGAAGGAAATCAGCCCTGAGTGCTCACTGGAAGGACAGATCCTGAAGCTGAGGCTCCAAGACT